GTTCGTTCGCATTAGTAGGCAAAACGTCAACGACACTTCTCGACCTGATATCTTGGTGTGCTGCGTCCAGAATATCTGAAGCCAAAAGCCCCAACCATTCCTACCCCAGCCCCTTTCGAGTGCGGCGGATCTGAACCGGGAGGAGAAGCGGCTCCAACTGGTATCAGGTTCCACTGGAGGTGCCACGTCCCATATCAGTGCACCGTTGCACAGGTTGTGGGCACGGCAGCGTCCCGTCTTCCAGCTCCCAGTCTCCACGGTCACGCTTTACTTGGTATATCCGAGGCAATCCCCAACGTGCCGGCTGAGGACCGAAAACAGACATTGTAAGTAGCCGAATGCCTCTGCGTCCGCTTGATTAACGCGTGAGGGTGTAAATGATGCGTGCGAGTCTTTCCGTCACTCACCCCGTTGATCCAGTCTCTGGCATTTAATCAGAAGCACCCTAACTATCAGCGCAGTGCGGCCAGACAAAAGATATCCAGAGCTGGAGGATGCGCAGACATTCCATTTGGGCGTCCGATCTTATCAACTTTGGGCTGCCGCCGAGGAAGAGGCCGAGATAAAGTTCAAGCTACAGAGCTCCCCACGTCCCGACCACTGAGACCCGGGATCTTTCGGCATCCTCTTGCCACCGGCCGCACTTATCGCCACGGTACCAAATTGCTTATCTGTTGTGCAGCGCGAGTTGCGCTGTGTTCCCAGGACGGAACTCCGGCTCAACCCTCGTCACAAGATGGAGCGGGTGTGCAACCACTGCGATCAATTCCCTCAAGTCCCGCCACTGGTGAGGAACTTTTGCCTATGATGTGCACGGGCAGGTCAACTGAGGTGATTATCAAAGGAGCAAAAAATGATGTAAAAGTCGGAAGAGATCTGGTCAAAAGCCATCCAGGCCGCTCACGACTGAGCACGTCAGGGGAAGGATACTGTTGCGACTCGTCCAGATTAAGGACCCACCCCCACACTAACCGACAAGGAGACAAAAAGGTCCTCGTCCCAACTCGTCATTGGTAAGTCACGACTCACGAGTCCGAGGTTCGTCAAATCGGCCAGCACACTGAAAAGCTTTCAACCGGTGGTCTCGACACTTCCTTGGCGACGCTTCTGCACAACCTTCCCGTCTGGGCGTTTGCTTGTATGTGCCACAATGTAACTTAACCTGGAATTGCTGCCGAATATGATACGAGCATTGCGAGAACACATAGCTTCGCATCGCCACTTGCTGGGGGAGAAGGAAATCAACCACCAACAAGGACAGCCTGCATCAGGAAACTCCTTATCACGTCAGTACGCGTAGAAATACACCTTCCTAATTGCGTGTAGCTTCATGTGTTGATGAAGTGACATTCCAATTTACCGGGCCATTGGGTTTGCATGAGGATCCCTGTCGGAACTCGGACGACCCTGTCCAACGCAACGTGTGGCCGATAATTCGGGGCGGACCTCCCCAAGACATCCAATCGCACAACACCCCCTCCCATTGCACCATCTGTCCCGCCCAGCTTCGCGGGTTATCGCACCAGACATCTGTACCTTGTGAAGACAAAGGTTCCAGAACGAAGGTTCCGCATCATCTATGTCCATGTACCCAGTCTGTGAAACTGCCAGCAGGGGTTTTAAAAGCCTTTATAGACTCGACCGTCGCCAATGCCACCAGAAGAGCGTCTTGGTCCCACAACTCTCCTGGACATCGGACGGTCCCATTTGCTTCCCCAGATAGCGGGGTCTTTCATCTTTTCTCGAGCCTCAGTCCTTCGGAGGATTCGACACAGCAGCCATGCCAGCCCCAGACCCTGTTGGCGACACAATCGTCGCCGGGGTTCTCAACCCTGTTGAAGGGAAGATTGTCTCGGTGCCGAACCACGCGGCCATCAACGAGAAGGCTAGTTTTGATGATACTGGTGCTGGCAAAGAGTTGGAAGCTGAAATTCAGGCTGTGCCCCCCCAATCGGAGAGTGGCAGCCATGAAAAGGACAATGCCAGCGAGGAAGTTATCATCAGAACTGGAGCAGACGCAGCCCAGCACCTACTGCCTCTCCGAGATGACTTCCAACCCTCCTTGACATTTCGCAGTATCTTCTTGGCCACCTGCTTATCCGCTTTTCAAGCTGTCATGAGTCAAATATATACGGTACGTTTACCCCCGCGAATTCCCTCGAAGGAGGCGGACGAAACGTGTTGACATTTCTCCTTCGTTGCAGTTCAAACCCACCCAGGTCACCATCTCGGGAACTTTCATCGTTCTCATTGCCTATTTCATGGGCAAAGCATGGGCCAACTTTCTCCCCCGAGGCGATAAACTCCAAGCTCGGTGGAGGGAGAAGGGTGGAGAGGGAACGCCTCCTCGCTGGATTCGGACCGTCTCATTTTTGAACCACGGCCCTTGGAACTTGAAGGAACATGCTATCTGCGCCATCACTGCAACATCTGCGTCCAATGCTGCTGCCAGTATCACCGTATTTGCTGCCCAGGACCTCTTCTACGACCTTCCTCTCAGCCCTGCGACCGTTGTGTTGAGCGTTATCTCCATCGGACTCTTTGGCTACGGAATCTGCGGCATCATGCGACCTATTGCTGTATGGCACGTCGATGCTGTGTACTGGAGCACTCTGCCTACCGTAAAGACCCTTCAAGGACTCCATTGGCAAGATTTGAAGAACTCAAAGCCATTGAGGTGGTTCTGGTACAGCTTTGCAGGCATGTTTGCATATGAATTCTTCCCGGCGTACATCTGGCCCTGGCTCAACTCAGTGTCAATTCCCTGCCTTGCCGCGATGCATGCGACGGGTGCCAAAGCTGCTACTTTGACAAATCTCTTTGGCGGCTCTATCAACAACGAAGGACTAGGCCTCTTCAGTCTTTCCTTCGACTGGCAATACGTAAGAGACACCCAATACCATGGCATGTTCAACTCTCTAACCTCGCCCAGATCACCTCTTTCAACACATCTCTTCCTCTGGCACTGCAGGCGCATGCGGCGCTTGGATACTTCGTCTGCTTTATTGTGATGCTGGGTATCTACTACTCCAACGCTTGGGATGCGAAGTCTCAGCCATTCATGTCCACTCGCCTCAGGTCTGAAGATGGATCAGCGTATCCAATCACAAAAGTCTTTACTGGTGGCGTGCTCAATAAGGAGGCGCTGGCGACTTACGGCATTCCGAGACTCACGGGTAGTTTTGCGTACGCAATGTTCATGGCAAATGCTGCCGTAAGTCATGATCTCAGCGGGGAAAGCCTGTGAACAATCTAGAAAGATGCTAATGACTGGTAGATTGGCGCTCTCATTGCTCACTGCTTTCTGTTCTGGGGCGGAGATGTGGTCAATGCTTATAAGAGCGCCCGAAGCGGACGGTACGACGACAGGCACCACGCACACATGGCAAAGCACTACAAAGAGACTCCATGGTGGTGGTATGTGGTGGTGCTTGTTCTTAGTTTCATCCTCGGTATCGTTGTTGTGACCACCCAGAACATCACCCTTCCGGCATGGGCATACATCGTCGCGTTGCTGCTGGGCATCTTTATTGCTCCTTTGGTATGTTGAATTCACAACGAGGCAGTCCTGTTGCTGATAAGTTCTCAGAGTACCATTCTCTACTCCCGGTACGGTAATGGCATCGCAACCAACAACCTCTCAAAGATGCTTGCTGGACTCCTACTCCCTGAACGTCCCATCGGGAACATGTACTTTGCGGCTTGGTCGCACAACGTGATTTCCAATGCCGTCACTCTATCTAATGACTTGAAGATGGGCGAATATCGTGGGTCATGGCCATAGTTATATTTGAAAGTCTCACTAACGTTCCTCTTAGTCAAAATTCCTCCGCGCGTTATGTTTTTGACCCAAGTGTATGGAACCATATTAGGCGGGTTCATTAACTATGCTGTCATGATTTCCATCGTCAACGGTAACCGGGAGCTTCTTGTCGACAGCAACGGTAACAACGCTTGGAGCGGTGCGACCATGCAGTCATACAACACCAATGCGACCTCCTGGGCATTGGCACACTACCTGTATAAGATCGGTGGCAAGTATGAACTGGTTCCCATCGGCTTAGGAATTGGTTTTGGCATTGTTGCCCTTCACAGGCTCGTTGTTTACGTGAGTAATACCAGAAAGCACTCGTATATCAGTCATTATGTCATAGACAGCGTTGAAAAACTAACCTTCACGCCAGTTCGTCCCCAAAGTTCGTGGCTTTTCGTTATCTGAGATCAACTTTCCACAGTTTATCCAGTACGCCGGATTCATTCCCTACAACCAGTCGCAGACTTGCGTCATCTTCAGTCAAATCATCGCCGGGTTTTTCACACAGTTTTATCTCAGGAACTATCGCCCGCGAATTTTCAGGGATTACTCGTATCTCGTGACTGGCGCAATGGACGGCGCCAGCCTTACCGTTCTGTTCATTCTGTCCTTTGCTGTCTTTGGGGCAGGAGGTTCTTCAAAGCCTTTCCCAACTTGGTGGGGCAACAATGCGGATGGGTACTACGACCTTTGCCCGTCATCGGAATAAGCGTGCATCTCTTGAACACGCATCGGTACCTATTGGGGAAAGATGGTCTGAGGTTATGGAAACACTTGATCTATGCATCGCCCATCTTTCTCTAGGAGGCTCTTGCTGTGTGGTCAAGACATGAAGCGTTAGTTGTTGAGCCTGTAAATAGTTCAGGGTAGATATCACTCGTTATCAGCCCTGAGGCTATTGGTATACTTAACCATCTATCACAGGAAGAATTGGCGGACAATGCATTTCCGCGTAACCCTTTCAACGATGCTCATGGAATGATTTGAAGCACACAAAACACCTTTTATGATCCACCTATTAATCCCTTAAGAACCCGTCTTGTTTAATGCTGTGAGACGAGATGCTGCCGAAGCCTTGTAAGTCTGATTTTGGGCCCCTTGGAGGTTGGAAGCTCGGCGTATCCATGCGCCAATCGCCGGCAAGTCTATGACAGATAACTTGCCAACCCTCTAATCATGTATCAAACTACGGATTGACGTTGAAAGTGATGTAAGGAATCGCAGAAGCATCTGGAGGCATTACGTAAGTAATGTTCCAGAACTCAAAGCCACTGTGCTTGGTTAGGGGACGAATTCACAACAGGAGACTCTTGTTCACTTACTGGATGATGGAGCATGTACCACCAACGAGCCCACAGAAACCGATCTCAGGATCCGGTAGAACCGACCCTGTGGTGGTGATGTTGATGCCATCCAAATCCCCAAATCCTTGAAGATCGCGTTTGCCGCCAATGGGATTGGAGCTGACAATGAAAGTAAACATGCTTGAAAAGTTGCCGTGTGGGTAAGTCAATGTTAACCGCCCGGGATCAACTTTCACATCCATGGCTTGTTCAGTCCCATGAAGAACAATGTATCCGATGCTACCATCATTTCGCGCCCATTGAATTACGGCAGGCGACCACTGCAAGGAGTCTTGTCGGGGACCACCAAGTGTATCCTCATCGTATGACTCAGCGCCAATGGTGACGTTGTCGGAAAGCCATGCTGTAACGTTCCGAGGCGCCAAGTCGTGTGGAGGAGAAAATACCGTGGTCTCGTACATATGCTCCCCAGGAAAGGATAGGAGTTTTTGGATGACCGACTCTGGCACAAGTGCGTCGTGAAATGGTGCCAGAACAGAGATAAGTGGCGCGTACTCAAAATCGTCAGCATGGGCCATGCTCCAGGTCTGGCTGATACCCGGCGCCTTGGACTTGCCGATGAGGGACCAAATGTATACGTTGAGGATGGCGACGTATTGGTTCATATCGAACCCGTAAGTTCTATCCCATGGGCCGGCGATGTTGCGAAGATTAGCGTTGTACATGTTTCCAATGGTCTCCCATACCGCTTCAATCATACGCCCACCATTCTGGCCCATGAGAGACGATTCAGGCATATACTTGGCCCACATTGTTAGCGCGTAGAGGCTGACCCCTGCGTAGGTTGGACTGTTGAACTCAGAAAGCGTGTCGTTGCGGTCAAAAAGGTCCAGAATCTGTCGAGCGTACAGTTCCCCAGCTGCGGTCATATTAGAGTCGTTGAGCAAACGGCCAGTCCATCCAGTGGCGATAGCCCTCATGAGAGCTGGGTTGCTGTAAGATGGGTACAAGACATCATCATCCACGCCCCCGACTCGATAACTATCGCCAATAGTGTTGTTCCGCATACTCTCAAGGATGAGGAGCTGAACGTCTTCGGAAATCAGATGCCGGAACTCTTCGTAGATCACGATGAGATTGGTCCCAATGAACCCTCGCCAATTTGGGTCCCAAGAGTTGAAGATCTGATATAAAGTTAATAAACAGAGAGATGTTCCTTCTAAAAAGTAGATATACGTTCTTTGGGTATGCTGGGGATCCCACAGTTGGTTCCTCGGGATATACAGTATAGTCGCCATACCTGGGTAGCGATGATTAATCAGCACGCTGCACAATCAATAATGGAAGAAGCCGCCATGGTTACCATTGTTCTCCTGGTACTTTCTTCTGGTCCGCGATGACGCTTTTGATGATCTTGACAGCCTGATCTACGTCGTCTCCCTGATTGCGCTGGAGAAGGCCTGTTGCGTACCAGACGGAAGAGCGGGTTTCATGCTTACCCGCGGCAAGCGGGAAGTAGAAGAAGTGAAGATAGCCGGCAACAGGGTCATAAATCTTGTCCAGAAAGTTCATCGACTCTTCAAACAGGTCCTGAGTGTGATCCGATAGCTTGACTGCAGCTGCTAGCCTCACAGCAGTAAACCAGGCCACCAGACCAAACGAAAGAAGACTCTTGAATGTGGTATTCATGGTGGGTTGTCGTTTGCGTTACCTCCGTAAAATGAGTTTGAACGTGTGAACGTTGCACCTTGAGACGGAGCAGAAAGCCAGCTTTTAAATCAAGTAGTACTTGTCACGATAAGTAGCCTATGAACTATCAGACTTATTGACTATAGCCCCGATAAGTTCTTTGTTCAGAAGCCACCAGCCGAAGACCGGTGCCAGCTCTGGATCAGCATGATCACGTCCCGGGGATGGCCGGTTTACAGGAAATCTTCCCGCGCGCAATTTGACTCCATTGGTAACTATGCAGATCCGGTATCATTGTTAGGTAGCAATGCGGGGAGTCAGGTGATGATAGATGCAGAATTGCCGAGCGAGGCTGCATTGTATGATCGCCGACGTCCGATAAGAAGAGTGTGGGGATGCCGATCAGCCGTGCCCCGCCCGCGGTTCCTACGGCAAACCCGGCGAAAGCACGAATGTCGACGATTGTCCTCCGACCGGACCGGACCCGGTTTTTACCGGTCTTCACTGTGGCCTTTGCCGAGAGAGAAGACTCTAAAAAGGAAAAGAAAACATTGCCCATAATACACTGTAGGCAAAGAAGAAGTATGTCTCTTGTCTCAGAGTCCCGCAACGGGTGGAGGCAAAACTTAATTCCCAGATAAAATGATCCGCTGCTCCATCTTTCTCCTAGATAGTGAGAAGTCAATTAAGCCACGTTGAAGTGCATATCTGAGGGTCAAACCTGTAAACAACTCTTTCTCTCACAGGAACTCTATAATAGTCGTACTTTGAGATTTAGTCTGCTCAACCCAGGATCGAGAGTCGCCGATGGCGGGACCCTCAGACTTACTCTCAAATATCTCCAGCCAGCCGAACCTCGGACCGAAACAAGAGGGGTTAGAGGTCCCAACCATTGCTGTGAGATGACAGGTTTGAGCCCCTTGGCCTTAAAAGTTAACACCACCATAATAAACTATACAAGCTGGTGAAGTAGACAATCAGTGAGCTCGGGTTGTTACAAACCACCTGAGAGGTGTTTGGCCAATTCTGAGAAGAATTATGTACGTGTTACTCGGTTCATGTTTTAATGCTTCTTCCGTATCTATAGTCCACAATCCCGATGTCCGGAGTTCGCCCACCGCATGAGAGAGGCGGCAACAGGATCAGGACGGAAAATCAACTAAGCCATGAGTTCTTCTCAGCGTTTCCAGAGTTACGCGTCAATGATTTGCGCTTTGACCCGTTCCGCATCCTTCGGCGGAAGCTCAGCAAGTAAATCCTTGAGCTTCTCGCACGCGGCATAGATCTTCAGAGCTATAGCCTGCATCGGGTCCTGGTCTGTCGCAGAGTCACCATCGGTACTGGCAGTTGCTAAGATGGCCCCGACCCAGTCTAGACGAGCCTGGGAAAGCCACTTTACGGTTTCGGGCTGCGCGTGCCACCGCATGGTGTTCTCGAAATTCAGGCATGTCATGACCAACCAGTCGAAATCCTGATCCGGATGCGGAATTGGACGGCAGAGCCTGTTCTTCATCTCATCGTCGCTGTAAGCCGCCTCGACGTGGGCGATGAAGGCTGCGCTGAAGACCTGCTGGCAATTTTTTAAACTACTTTAAATAAATCCGCCGCCGCGATATTCTACTTATTATCCAACTTTTACAAACTTTTACATATTCAAACACAGAGCCCAAGTAAAATAGCGTGAGGCTGAGCTACTAAAACTACTAAAGTACATATTTGCTAAGGAAAGTATAAGCTTTCAAGACGGCTTTCCAGCCGTCGGACTCCGGGTCGCTGCTCCGGTCGCAAATATGGGCAGCGCCATCGACGAGCGCGAGGCCGGCCGGCACGCCGCGGGCTACGAGCACGTCGTACGTGTCCTGGCTTTGGCGCCACGGGATTAGGTCGTCGCCGGTGCCGTGGACCAGGAACGTGGGTACGGGCGCGTACGTGCCGGCCTCGACGTGGGCGCGCGGACTAACGGCGCGGACGCGGTCGAGGTCGGGTTGCGGCGCCGCGTTCCAGTCGGTGACGCGGCCGACTCCGGCGGCCTCGTCGTCGCGGTCGGCGGCGGCACGGGTCGGGAGGCCGTCGACGATGACGGGCAGGGTCTGGGCCTTCCAGTTCATGTGCAAGATCATGCGGCAGCGCGCGTCCTCGAGGATGCGCGGGTCCGGCAGGGCCGCGTGGGCGCCGATGACGCCGTAGCTGGTCAGGGGCGCATCGTGGACGCCCTCGAGCACGTCGAAGGCGAGGCCCGAGCTCGCGGCGCCGGGTATGTCGATGGGCGTCGTCCACCACTTGTCCGTGTAGTCGGTCGGGCAGTAGAAGCCCAGGACGGCGGTGGGGGGCGGCAGGCCGCGCGCGGGCGCCGTCCAAGCCAGCGACAGGGCCAGCATGCCGCCCGAGGACCAGCCGATGGCAGCGACGCGGGCGCCGTCGACGACGACGCCGGCGGGGCGGGCGGGCGAGTCGAGGCCCGGGAGGATGTCGCGCGCCCACGCCAGCGCCGAGCACACGTCGGCCATGGGCCCGTCGGCCAGCGTCAGCTCCGGGCAGAGGCGGTAGTCGACACTGACGGGGAGGAAGCCGCGCGCGAGCAGGAGGCGCGTCTGCGCGGGGCGGACGTCCTTGCGCGAGTAGATGATGTGGCTGCCGCCGTGGACCATGAGGGCGACGGGCCGGGGGTTGGGGTCCGGCGGGCCGTCGGCGACGGGCCAGTACACGTCGGCGTGGATTTCCAGGTTGCCCACCTTCTTGTACACAACCGTCTCCATGACTGCCTTGGCGCCGTAGCCCTCGGGCTTCCTGGCGGCGCCTCCGCCGGGTGTGGTCGTCTTGGGCGCCGTCGGGAACGCTCCGATCAGCCGCACCGTCTTGGACTCGGGCGACTCGCCGTCGCTCCACTCGACGGCCGCGAAGCCGGCGGCCTTCATGACGCGCTTCCAGTGTCGCTCGTCGACGATGGCGTGCGAGCGCCCGTCCTCGAAGCGCCACCAGCCCTCGAGCGGGCCGAACACGACGTCGAGCCAGGACATGTTGCGGGTGATCTCGAGAAGGGTCAGGGCGCCGTCGTCGCTCAGCATGGCCCGCAGGTGCCGCAGCGACGTGCCCAAGTCGCGCGTCGCGTGTATCGCGTTCGAGGCCAGCACGATGTGGTATGCCGCCACGTCCTCAGGCTTGGGCGGCTGCTCAATGTCCAGGACCTTGAAGCACATCTTGCCGTCGCCGGCGAGGTCCGCGAACTCGGCCCGCTTGGCCGCGGTGCCGACGAGGGAGGCCGAGATGTCGGTGAAGACGTACTCGAAGGGGACGCCCAGGCTGCGCAGCCGCTCGACCACGACCTTTGTCGTGCCGCCCGTGCCGGCACCGACCTCGAGGATGCGGAACTTGCCGCCGCTTCCGTCGCCAGTGGAAGCGGAGGGTTTTGCTGTCAGCGCCCGCTCCACGAAGTCTCCCAGCACCCATCCTGGCGCGCGGAAGAGCGGCCACCTGTCGTACGCGTCCTCGAGCACCGCCTTGGTGGCCGGGTCGCCAAACAGGATCTGCAGGGCGTCCTTCTCGCCCGTCAGGCAGGCAGCGAGCTCGGACCCGACGGCGCGCACGAGCTTGTTAACGGTTGCGTGCGGCGGGTGGAGGTCGATGATGTCGTGAAAGACGGCCTCCGCCGGGGCCAGGTCCAGCGCCGCAGCCGTCCGCGTGAACGAGGGGGTCAGGGAGGACGAGGATCCCTGTATGAGCCCGCCGTCCTCGAGAATGCGGAAGAACTGCCGCACGAGCCGCGCGTGGCGGTCCAGCGTGCCCTGCACCCGCGGCACCGTCTCGCCGGCCTGCAGGGCAGCGAGGTCGCAGCCGAGCCGTGCGAAGGCTTCGACGACGTAGGCGAGCACCAGCCGCTTCTGCTGCGGGTACGCGTCGGTCCAGAAGCCAAGCGCCTGGGCGTCCCTGGCCAGGTCATCGTAGTTGAGCCGGGTCTCGCGAAAGGCATCGAGCGCGTTGCTGAGGGCGGGCATGGGAGGGCGGGGGATTTCGACGGCCGTCGGTTTCTCGGCTGGCGGAGACGTTGTTCCCGAGGAGCCAACGTCGGCGATGCTAGAGTCAGCTAGCGAAGCAGCTACTGCCGACGGGTTGCTGCCGTCGTCGATGTCCTCGCCAACATTGCCATTCCCGGTGTCGCCAGCAGCACCGCCGAGGCCCAGCTGCTCGTCCACATACTGGGCCAGGGCGTCGACGTCGGCAAAGAAGAGGAAGGTGGACACGTCAATGGTCAGGCCCAGCTCCGTGCGGATGTCGTTGAGCACCTCGGTGGCCATGAGAGAGTCAACGCCGAGATCGTCCAGCGTCGCCTCGCCCATGATCTCGCCGATCGGTCTGTCGGTGACACTGGCCAGGATGCGTAACAGCTCTTGACGCTTGCTGGGCCCGGCCGACTTTGCCTTTTTGGACGCAGAAGCGGCCGTGACGCTGGGATCGGTCACATGCGCTCCCTGTACGAGGGCGTCGGACGCAGACACTGACGACGTCGCCCCCGCATCTGTCTTGTTTACGCCCTGCAGCAGGCGCGCCAAGAGAGCCCGCGGCATGCGCGAGAACCGGAAGCCAGAGAAGGCCATGACCATCCTGTCCGTCCGCGCGTCAAACACATACAGGTCCGCCGAGGCCTCCTTGACGACTTCGTGGCCTCCGACGTCCTCGCCGCCGCTGGTCAGGGTGGCCAGAACGCGCCACTCGCCGGCGGCCGGGTCGAAGCCGCCGCCCACCTCGATGCGCTCGATGTTGTTGCACACCAGGATGTGCTCCGCGCTGGCGTTGTTGAAGTAGTTGGCCAGGAGGCCGGCGGCCTGCATTAGCACGTCGGCCGTGTGCGCGTCGCACAGGCGCTGGTCGGCCGGCGCCGAGGTGTCGGGCGTCGCGCGCACCGTGGCCGCGGCCTCTCTGCCCACGCAGGATACGTGGTCGAGACGCTGGAACGACGGCCCGTAGTCGCACACGGCGGAGAAGGCCTGGTATATTGTCCGTCGGCCGCGCATGGACTCTGCGTCCGGACTCGCGAGCAGCTCGGTGACGCGGCGGCCGTGGCCCGCCAACGCCTCGAGGCGTGCGAAGGCCCGCGCGGCACGGTCGTCGGAGCGTCTACGGAGAAGCACCGTACCGGTGGACTTTTCAGCAGCCGGGTTGGCAACGGATGCAGACGAGGACGAAACCTGCCGTGTGGCGAAGGAGAAGGACCACGCGGGCCCCCCGTCTCCGTTATCCTCGGTCCTCCGCTTCAGCTTCAGCGTGATTTCTGTGCCCGTGTCCCGTCCGATCGGCGACATCATGGTCAGGTCGTCGACGACCGGCACGTACATGGTCGCCGCGACGTCATCCGCGAGGAAGAGTGCCGCGCGCGCAACCAGTTCAAAATACAGCGACGCCGGCGCGAGTGCCTGACCACTCATGACGTGGCCGCCCACAACGGCCTGGAAGCGGTCGGATCGCGGATGGACGCGGAATACAGCTTCGTCGTCTGCACGATGGCGGATGGTGAGGAGCTCTTGCGTCTCATGAGCTCCCTCTCCTCCTTGTAGATGCGCAGACTTGGCTTCCACCCCCTTTTCGCTGACCTCTGGCTCCCTCCCGGTAAAGGGCAGCCAGTGGCGCGTCTTTTCGAACTGGTATGGCGGCAGGCTCAGATAGCCAAACTCGGGCTTCTGGCTGCGATGGAAGGCCCAGTACTGCACGGCGAGACCGCGCCTCCAAAGCTCGACGGTGCTGTCAGCGAGAGATGCCAGCGCGTCTGTCGATGTGGACGCGAGCTGAGGCGAAAGGAACAGCGGCTGCGACTGCTTGGAGCCAGCCACGCAGCCCCGGACGAGCTGCATGACGGAGGATCCGCGGCCCGCCTCGAGCCAGGCGCATGTGCCCTGCGGGAAACGCGTGGCGAGCCTCTCGATTGCGTGCTGGAAAAAAACCGGGCGCCGGGTGTGGCTCGCCACCATTTCGGAGTCGGGGTCCGTCTGGCGCTGGACCTCATCACACGTCTCCAGGTGGATGGCCGGACGACGCCACTCCAGCTCCTTGGCCAGGGCCGAGATGTGCTCCAGCATCGGCTCGGTGAACTTGGAGTGGAAACCATGCGTGACGTCGAGCCTCTTAGTGCGTATCGACGACTCGCTGAAGTGCTTCTCGAGAAGCTGGATAGTGCCAGCCGAGCCGACGACGACGTGGCTCTCGGGACCATTGTAGCACGCGACCTCGGCATACTCGTTGCCCTGCAGTGGGCCCAGAGCCTGTTCGAGGGTCTCGCGGTCCGCCCTCACAGACAGCATAGTGCCTCGCTCCAGGCCCCAGTGCTTCTCCATGATCTCGGCCCTCGCGACCACCAGCCTCAGAGCGTCGGCGAGGGACAGCACGCCCGAGACGCAGAGGGCCGTCAGCTGGCCAAAGCTGTGGCCCACGACGGCGCCCACCTCGAGCCCGCTGTCCAGCCATGAGGCGGCCGACGCGTACTGCACGGCGAACAGGCCCGCATGCAGTGCCGCCAGGCGCTGT